GGGAACAAACCCAGGGACACACACGGGATCCAGCTCAAGGGCCACGCCCACACGCATACACACACACACACACACACACACTCACACAGACGTGTGCAAATATGGCTTTTAGTTTTTCCTGAAATACTTTTGCACCGCTATAACTTTTACGATTAAGTCAAAGCATCACCATCCTAAGCGCACACACACACAGTGTGTGTGTCCGTGGACCAGGTGTTCCTGTGTGGGAGAGACAGCGAGACGTCACAGGGTGGAGGGACACGTGAAGACAGCTTTTAGAAAAGAAGGGATGACAGAGCGCAGACAAAAGACCCAGGCAGCGGATTGAGCCGGGGACTGAAGTCTTATCTGGGCACACAGACACACCGAGGAGCAGTCAGAACAAGTTCACTTAGTCGCATTTATTGTGCTGGAACACTCACATGCTGCTAGGACTATGTGCGGAAATCAACATGAGGAAATAAGAGAAAAAAGAAAACTAATACCCATAAAGCAGTGAGAGTAAATATTTGAGTATTTTAGAAAAATGAGCTCTTAGATGAACTCTTTAAATTTCAGTTTTTTAAGATTACACTGGTAATATCAGTCCAGTAGTTCTTATCATCTCAGTTCTGTTGTGAAAAGATGAAAAAGAATGGGAAAACTATGTAACAGCACCGGTTTCGCTCTGACTGACTGGTCCTGGCCGGGTGACTGGCCCAGTTGTTTGCAGCAGAGTGGAAAAATCTTAACTTTTCGATGGAACACTCATTAACATCTATTTATTGAGCAGGTAAGCTGCCGGCAAGCTAACTTGAGTCTTTCTCACTTGCCGTTCCTCTTGACTCTCTTGTCCAGACGCAGACCACGGACAGACCCGATTGGCTGGAGTGTCCCGAGGGGGCGGAGCTGAGGGGCCTGCTGCAGGATATGACCACTTCTGAGAGGTGCGCTCTCCTGCCGCTGGATGTTTGGTTTGTGGAGCCAGCAGTGTGGAACAAAGCCAGGCCACTTCCTCCCGTTAATCCGGGCTTATTCCGGAGCATCCCAAGAGACGTACGGCATAGCTCCATCCCAGTGTATGTCTGTGGGACATGCCCATCTCATCCCCAGAAACCCTCCAGCGCTGCTCTCACTGATGAGGGCAGAGAGGGTGTTTGACCGTCCACCTTTGGCCCGGGTGCCCGTTTGACCACGTCCAGATGGAAGGCTCTCCTTTGCTCTGGGTCCCCGTCAGGCCCTCCTCATATCGAGGCTCTGAGCTCTTTTTTTCCATGTTTTTCTGTTCGGTCCAGCCCTTTGTCTCATCTTATTATTTTCGCGCATGTCTGCACACGTTTGCCCATCTCGATCGTCCAGACCGCTCTTTTTCCCGTTTGTTAAATGAGAGGCTGTCGGCTTAAAGTCAAAGAGTTGAGAGACTGCGTTTTCCTTCCCAACAGCTGAAGATGTTTCAGGCTCTCTGATTTCAGAGGCAGCCGCGCTACGCATACTTTGCTGTAAGGACAAAGCTCTATATTCAGCCTTTGATTGTTGGATTTTTTTAAAGAAACATGTCAAATACGACGAGCTTATCCAAACAAATAGTAATCACTTTTCTAAGGAATAAAGAACGGCTGGAGAGCACAGATTCCCCTTTTTTTAAGCTGAGCAGAGCCTTTAGTAATAACACTAACCATGACTAGTAGCGCTAACCCAGGTATTGTGTGCCTGATGTGTGTGTTCTGTTGTGAACACCTGGATCTCTGCATCTGGCTGCTTTTATTAGAATGTGGGCTGAATGTTGGTTCCCTCTTTGAGCTGAAGGGTTTTCTCACTATAGCGATAGTGTTTCCTTTGATCCTTTGATGCATGAGACCAGCGACCTCTCTCTCTCACTCACTCACTCACACACACACACACACACACACACACACACACACAGAGGCACCAGATGAATACACACAAATAGTTGCTTTCAGTCTCCTTTTTATACAAATTCTGTCTCTCAATCACACACACACCCTGTCAGATCAATAATAAAGGTGTATTGTTACTCTGCTATAGAGGCCTCTCTTTCTCTCCCCTCTTTTCTCCTCGGTCACCTCGTTTCTTTCCCCCTTTGTCACACTCTACACCCATTTCTCCTGCTCACTCCCTTCTCCATTTCTGTCCTTTCCCTTATTTTCTGACTTCCCCTCCTCTGCTCTCCCACTTCTCTTCCCTCATCTCCTCACGCCCGTCCCTCCCTCCCTCCCTCCCTCCCTCGCTCTCCGACAGATGAAAGCACAGATCAGCTCTCGCTTTTGAAGTGGCCGAGACCGGCACCCTCCCACTGGTTTAGCAATAGGAAGAGGAGAGCAGAGGTTTAGGGAGAAAGGGCAGGAGATGAGAGGAGTTATGAGGACAGAAGAGGAGGAGAAGGGACGGGAAGAGGTGGGTGAGGTTTTAATTGAGAAGATGAGAGGAGTTCAGGCAGATGCAGGAGAGGGAAGAAGTGCCGGGAGGGAGGGTGGAGGCCCGGACACAGATCCTAACCCGAATGATGTCATTCAGCCTTCACCATGGCAACCTGAGGAATGCCCTTTCAAAACCTCCAGCCTAACTGGGGGTGGAGGGGCGGGCCTCTCCCATAGACCTTAAAAAAGACCAGAGGCCCCAGAAATAAGGAAAAATTTAGAATTGAAGCATATTTTTTTTCAGTCGACTATCATTTTTAAATAAATAATTGTTCCTGGATAATTTCAAACTAATGGACTTCGCTAATTACATTTTCTGCGTATACGCGCTGACTTTAAAAGAAGCCGAGCTGTCTGCTGCTGCTTGTTTTTGTCTGCATCTTCCTCCTGACGATTGGTTCAAACATGGAAACCTGTATTTCTGCATTTTAGATTCTCTTCTCCGTGCCACTGACAGGAGTCTGCCGTGTCAGAAAACAGCCTCTAACCAAATATTGTGTTTCCTGCTGCCTTCTGTGCAGGCGCAGGTGTCAGTTTGGTGCTGTGAAAGCGCAGATTTATTTTGTCCTTTAACTTTTATTAAACCAATTTGTGTTTTCCCAATCCAAAAACATTAAGGGTTTCTGGGGCCTGTCGTATTTTGGTTCGTTATGTGGGTTTTCATTAGATTAAAGGAGCGGATGAGCCTCTCCGGGCTGGGCTGGGAGTCTGCTCTCACCTGCAGAATAAGGGGAGAGGGGAGAGGGACAGGAGGGATGGGACAGCCCGAACAGACCATTCCAGCAAGCATCTCCCAAACCACAGACGGCGGGAGTAGATTTGGAGGCTGAATGTTGTGTTAGAAACTCATCAGGTGTTGATTGGAGCCGTGGTGCATCATGATTAGCATTTCCCAGCAAAGAACGGAAAAGGGCCTTGTTTGGCCTTGTTTGGCCTTTGTGTGTGTGGTTGAAAACCTAATACCCTAATAAGAGTTTACTACTTTGGTTTACTAATTCATGTGTGTAACCTTAAAGAAAACTAGCCTGGAACTGTAACTAGCACTAACTTACATAAGACTGTGTACTAACTGGTTCCTCTCCTTCATCCCAGGTGTAAAGATGTGATTCAACTGGCTGCAGAAATCCTTCAAGAGATCTCTGGATCCTAAAAGCTTTCATCTTCAAACCATCCCTCGGCACCACGGTCTGACTTTTTGGAAAACCTTTTTAAAAACTGTATTAATTTGTTTGATAACATCCTTTCTTTTTCCCCACCTTCCTGAATCATATTCTGTACATATTTCTTACAGTTTTTTAAACAAAAAGTAAAGTTATTTTGTAGGCATTTTAGTTAACACTTGAATAAAGTGGATGTAAACTTAATGCAGAGGGATGGACCTGTTCCTGTTTATTTATGAAAATTTAATTTATCAAATTTTTCAAGCCGTTTTATCAACTCTGAAATTCTCCCAAAAGCTTCGAGATGATAGTAAATCATATTACCGGATTGACTCGCTTCTATGAAACCCATCATTTGCAAATTAGATCAGTGACTGAGAAGAATTGCTGGTGTCATTTCATCAGGCTGCTCAGGATTACATGAGCATTAATTCAAACTGTCATGGGCGTCACAGAACAGACCTCTGAGTCTGCTAACTGCTCCAGTCAGGTTTAGTGACCATTAGTGTGTGACGTCTCATATCTACAATGCAGTTTGGTGTGTTGCTGGCACACACACACACACACAGCAGCTTTAAAGTGTATCCAGAGAGTTCAGTTGTGCCTATTTCAATGGGACAGGGACATAAAAAAATAAGTTGTATTTTTAACAGCAGATTGTGTTATTTCTTATGGAGAAGAAATGCCAAGTTTCTTTTTGGGCTCCACAAGCCACGTGATTGGCCCAACAGCACCCTCTTTGAGAAGTAAAAAGCCTTCAATAAACGTGGATTTCCGGCAAGATTAGAAAAAAAATCTGCTGTGGAAAACATTTTTGTCAGTTCCGGTTGTGAACTACCGCATCCTGCGTACCAGAACAGAGGTGGGTGAGGTAAAGACGTCTCTGTGAGGTGAGCCACAGAATTTGGACTGAGCCTTCGGTTCTGCTGGCTTTCCCGGTATATAGAGCACGCCAGTCATCACATGAAAGCTGCAGCTGTCAGCGTCCCATTTGTCCAGCATCATCCAAGTCAACTCTTTGACTCAGTTTCTCACCAGAAAAAAAACAAAAAGAAGCTATCGCTGAAAGCCTGCAATGAGACGTGTTGACACTCAATTTCACACTTGGCAAAGCCTTTCTTCTCACCTGGCAATGTAGCTGTCATTAGCAGACTGTCTTATCTGTGTGTTGTGTTACCGGTTCCAGGCTCTCACCCCCCCCCCGCTGCACACAGCACCACAACACTGATGTCCTAGTTTTTCAGGAGGGTGCATGGAGCTTTACATGTAATTCAGGGTGACCGTTTGTACTAATAAATACACATGTACACATCAGTAAACAGCAGTATGACTCTATTACACTAACATAAAGCTGTAACTTTTACCCTGTGAGTTTCTAAAGAATGTGAAGCACGGTAAGATTGAAATGAGACAGAAGTCCAGGTGAAATGACAGTCCATTTTATTGTTTCAGAACACAGAAGGCTACAGCAACCAGCGCCTCTCACTACCTCACCCCTTAGTAACAGCAGACCAATAGGAGCTCTTCTCCACCCCGGTCCCCTCAGACACTCCCGCCCAGCTCGGTCAGCTAAACCCCCCTTTGGAACAGCAGAGACACATCAGTGTCCACCTTTAAAGCAAGAAAATAGCTCAATATTTGGACCATGATTTCCAATTCATGTCTTTTTATACAAAAGCTACACAATGTTACACTTGATCATCAGAATACAATTCAACTGATTAACTTTAGTGTTTGGACACCATTTAAAATGTGATCTGATTCTTTACGTGGATGGAGCATCACCACTTAAAAAAAAAAAAAAAAGAAAAAAGAAACTCAACACTATCAGACTTAAAATACAAGGGACTGCAAAAAACAAGATGAGTATTATAATGCTGGAAAATGAAAAAAGCAAGCTAGATTCAGTTTGTACCATACAGACTTGAAGAAAACAGAATAAAAAAGTCAAACAAAATGAGTAAAAATTAACAAAATGGATAAAAGGGTATCTGAAAAATCCATCATTTAGATCAAAATCTGTGAGTCATGTCAGGTTTTGAAGTCAGCCCCAATCAGGCTGAGAGGCCAGAACCGCACTAATATCTACTTTGTCCCAATGGAGTTCCCATAGCCAGGAAACTCTGCTTGCTGTTGTTGAGTCATCTTCAGGCACTTTCTGAAACCCCACCTCCTCCATATGGGCGGATCACAATGCAGGTTCATTCAGATCACATGATACAGCTGCAAAGGGAGGAGACAAATGAGTGGGGGGGGGAGAGTCAGCCCTGATGTTGGTTACAGGACCACACACACACATCAAAGGCCCAGTAACTTAACACGCCACATCACACAGCTTTAGTTCCAGAGCAGCCAGAACATGCAGCGGCCCGAGTGGGCAAATCCACTCCCTGTTCAGCCTCAGTCCACCCCACTGTGCATCCATGTTAAAGCTAGGAAATACCAGCTCAGCACCACTGATTCCAGCTACTACAAGGTGGCAGAGGGGCATGAAACGGCGTCTTACCTAGTAGAAAGTGTAGTGTAATGTCGGTCTCAGTATTTACAGGTCGGTATCAAACCAGGCCAGTTGGTTTGAGTCTCCGGGAGGCAGACCCTCTATCAGTTCCTGGGCATGTCCCAGGTCAGGGAGCCCTTCTACAGGGGGGTAGTCCTGGCCAGGGTGGTGGCCTCCACCCAGATCATGGTCCATCATGGGCTCCATGCCCATAGAGTCCCCTCCGTAACCCCCCGAGTGGAAGGAACGGTAACTTGGGTCTGGGGGAGCAGGGAGTGGATGGAGGAGAGGCAGGGGAAGCAGAGCATTGTTAGAAGCCTGTTATCAAACCACACCGTCACACAGTAGTAGTAACACCGCACACCACCACACCCTCACACCACCCTAACAGCACCCTAACAGCACCCTAACAGCACCCTAACAGCACCCT